AGTCTGTGCTCTTGCCTGGTCACTCTGCGCTCCAGGCTGGTCACTCAGCTCTCTGGCAGTGGCTGGAAGGAAGGGAGATGTGGCCTCCAGCAGCAGACTGAGCTCAGCTGCCCTTAGGATACAGGTGCTGCTGCCTGCACTTCCTGCGGACAGAAGCCCCACAGATTCAAAGAGGAAAAAACAGCCGGCCTGGGTCAGCCGAGGCTCTGTGGTCGAACATTAACATCAACATCCCTTCCGCTCGCAGACACTTCCCTGCTGGCTGCTACTTCAAAGCCGCGCACTGTGCCCGGGGGAAGGCAAGATTCTCGGCGCTGGGCTGCAGCTGGAACCCGGCTCCAGGCCCGGCTCCTGCCGGGGCTCTGGAAGGACAGGGACACACCTTATTGCCCTGAAGCACAGCGCCGCCTGGGTTCTGCCCCGGGACAGAGCGGCTCAGGTGCATCCAGCAGGCCACCCTGGACTCCACTTGTGTTCCAGAGGAACCCCAAATCCGTGCGACACGTCAGCACAGGACAGACAATTCAAGCCTGAACTCTCTCTCAGTAATCAGTCCTGCACCACCTGGTCAGAAATGTATTGATGGCTTTTATTGATGATTATTGACTGTGGCAGCTGATTATTTTCATGGCAGCATCCATCCTTCTGGAATGACATGTGTCTGTAAGGCAACAAGAAGAAAGTGCCAGTTAAGCTGTAAAACGTTCTGAGGCCGATGTGCAGGGCACAAAGTGGGCTAGAGATAAGACACTGGCTTGGGCTGGGAGGTGCATTTCCGTCAGATCCCATGGGAAAGGCCTTTCCTGTCCTATTGTGCCGGACTGGCCCCAGCAGGACCCTCCCTGGGGAGACGACAATGGAGACGCTGAACTACCCGCTCAGCCATGGAGGTGATGAATATTCAGAAATATCCCTCCAGGATATAGCAGAGCTGCAGTGTGGAGGGTTCAGCTGTATGAAGGGAATATAGCACTATCAGCCATTGTAACTAGTAGTCTTCTAGTGGTTAGTGTCCTCTTTTAGCTCGTTGGCTCTGCATGACAGCAAGTCAGTAACGAGGCTGGACACCCACACTGGTCCCACAGAGCCTGTGGACCAGGGCTGGAGTGTGGAGTGGGAGGAGTGGGAATAGGTCTATGACTATTAATGGGAGGTGATGAAAAGGGAAGCTTGCTGTTTCTCTGTGAAAAGAAAAAATAAAAATATTGTCTCTTAGCAACTTCTCTTCCCAGGAATTCCAGAGCTGAGTTCTTTTGTGAAGCAAGCATTCCGCGCCCCTTCGGCATGACCTCTGGGATCTGAGAGCAAACTGGAGAGCACCTTAGTGCAGAGAAGGAGAGGAGGAGGGGAGGAGAAGGAGGAGAGGAGGAGAGGCGGAGAGGTTGAGCCAGGAGCCAGGGCTGCCCGAGGTGCTTGACGAGCCTCAGAAAAGGCCCCTTGGCTCAGGGTCCAGTTCACATCCACCTGTCGAAAGACAGCCATTCCATTTCAGATTATGGGCTACAGGGCGACAGGTCTCAGTAAGGACTTAACCATGAGCTCTGCTTCACCACAGTTCATTCCCTATAGAGTCTGGAGTTAAAGAGCAGTGAAGGGATTGCTCCTGCTCACCGGGCTGAACAGAAACAGAAAAAGAACAGAAATATACAGAACTATACAGACCACATGTATAGGTCTGTATGTAACTATATAATATTGAAATATACAGAACAGAAATATAGAAAATCCTACATATCTGGAGTTCGACTCTTACCTAAACCGTAAAACACACCTTGTGTCCCAGACTGGGGAACTGCGGACACATCAGCAGTGTGATTATCTGAGGCTGTTTACCCAGCAGGAGTAACTCCACACCGGAAGGACAGCAGGCCCTGTCAGCTGACACACTCCTGTGACTCATGCACATTGTTGCTGTTGAGCACTTCCAGTTGACTCACAAAGAGTTTAACTTCCGAATTCCTAACTGAAACTCCACACAGAGAACAAAAAGATAAGACATGGAATATTTTGGAATCTTTTGAAATCAAAGCCATGAATCTGTACATGATGAAACCGTTGTTTTAGTGAGGTAATCTCAATATAATATTGCTGCTCTGTTTGGACTCCTGTCTCTGCTGAGTTTTCTCTCCCCTCAGCCCTTGCAAACACAGTCCTGCTATTGATCCACTGTGTCCACACAGAGCAGGGGAGCAGAGTCCAGATTACAGCCACGAACATGATCACCTGCTTTCAGTTCATCTTTCTTTCTCCTCCTTCGGCAGCCTACGGTCTTTCTACGGACCTTGATCCAGCCCTGCTCGCCTACGGTCTTGGCTAGAGCAGCCTGTTCTTTGCACATTTCTCCTGTTTTAATCCTCATCTTGCTCAGCCTCTGCTGTGCAGGACACGTGGCCTGTCCAGAGCGATGGGCCGTGATCAATGCAGCAGCAGCTCAGGGTCATAGACCTGAACTGAGCAAACTCCCTGTTTATCCAACAGGCTGTGTTGCCAGCTCATTTCCAGGCAAACACAGCACAGGCCCTTGGGTCTATACAGACACAAACCTTTAACCCTGGTAAAGGTTTGTTCGGTTGCTGAAAGAGAGCCGGCGAGGCCCTGCAGCAGGCGGGGCCCTCGGATCCAGGCCTGGACTGGGCGCAGAGTTCCTGTCGGAGTCTCGGATTCCGGGGTCGAGCGATTGGATGCTTCCTCGCCCTCTCACCCCGAGGACATCCGTGCTCCTCTGGGAGCAGGGTCACTTTCGGGGATCGCTGATCACCAATGTAACCCTGAAGTTCACCATCCCCCCCTTCTCCGTCTTGCTCATAATGGGCCCCTTCACACTCCTCCTGCGGGGGGAGGGGGGGGCACAGGTGGAGGCAGAGCAGCAGCAGCTCCCCAACAGACTGGCCCATTGTTGCCAGCTGGCTGCCCATCAACATAGCAAAAGCAGCAAGTGTCTGTGAGAAATGGAAACGATGCGGAGAACGCCCCCCGCCCCCACCCGAGAGGAGGGAGTGTCCTGCTCCAGGCCGGGGGCTGTGTGAGGAGGGGCGATTCTCACCCACGTGTCTACAGGGCTCTGCAGATTTCTCTGCCTTCCTCATGTGTCCCATTCTGTTGAAGCACAAATGATGGGAACACCAATTTTTAACTGAATATTTGTAATCAAAATTCAAATAATCGCACTAAACACACATTTCTGGATGAAGAATGACAAATGTCATCAAAAACTGCAAAGCAAAATCCAAAATGAAAAATCGTTGATCACTGAAGTATTCACCTCCCCGGGTGTAACAGCAGTTACAGCTCTAAGCGTTTTTAGATAAATCCCACCCAAAATCCCACCCAACATCCCACCGCACACTGGCTTGGTGCAGTTTTGCCTGTTCTTCATTGTAGATAGGCCAGCAGCCATATCACCCTGCAACTCACAACTGGCAGCCCACTGAAGCTCAGCAGGTGTGAGCCTGGTCAGTACCTGGATGGGAAACCTCCTGGGGAAAACTAAGGCTGCTGCTGGAAGAGGTGTTAGTGGGGCCAGCAGGGGGCGCTCACCCTGCGGTCCATGTGGGTCCTAATGCCCCAGTTTAGTGATGGGGACACTATACTGTAAATGGGTGTCGTCCTTCGGATGAGACATAAAACCGAGGTCCTGACTCTCTGTGGTCATTAAAAATCCTAGGACGTTTTTCAAAAAGAGTAGGGGTGAAACCCTTGAGTCCTGGCCAAATTTCCCATTGGCTCTTACCAATCATGGCCTCCTAATAATCCCCATCTCTGAATTGGCTTCATTACTCTGCTCTCCTCC